TAAAAAAAAAATATATATATATATTTCTTAAAAGAGAAAGAGTAAAAGCATATTATAGAAAATTAAATAGCATGGTTTTGTTTTTATTGAAAAAAGTTTAATAATACATGGATATATGTATACATGTTTATGTATACATGTGTGTTTTCATAAACAATTTAGAATGTTATCCTTACACACTATTGATAGTAATTACCTCTAGGAAATGGGGCTAGAGTGTTGGGTAAGATGTTCACTTTTTTATAAGCTCCAAAATAAATCTGTGAACTTGTGAACTCTTAGTTCATTTTAATATTCTTTTGTATTTTCCAAAATTTATATGTATATATACAATGCATAATTATCTGGTGGATAATGGCAATGTCATACAAATCACATTAAAATTCAAATGAATTCAAATTAGAAACACACTATTAGAAAAAATTAATTAGCTTAGAGTTAATAGTTTATAGAAGCCATTTCTTTTTTTTAAATTTCTTTAATGATTAAGGTATTATATATGTGTCCTCATTCCCCGTTACATCCCACTCATTCCCTCACTTCCTGTTGTCTGTATCCATTGGTTAGGTTTATATACATACAAGTCCTTTGGTTGATCTCTTATCCCTTACCTCCACCCAATATAGAAGCCATTTCTTTTGCCATACAAGCAGAAATTAGGCTCTGAGGGAGCCAGATAAATGCTGTCTGGACTCAAAAGCCAGCCCATAGTTTGCTTGCTTTGTAAGCAGTATTCTCCAGGCTTACAATTTTCATTTCCATTATATCACATTTCAATATATTCTAGTGCCCAAGGATAGGCTTATGGTCCAGGAAATATAAGATTAGGAACCCTTAATTAATAAAGAAATTAAAAAAAAAAAAGGTTGGGAACCTTAATATCAGACTGCAATCTAAAGACTAGACTAGAAATTTCCACTTCATTCCAAGAGTCATGGATCCCACAATACTAACAAATGGTGTTGTTTGAATAGTCTAAAAAATTATGATAATATTGTAAACTCTTCATCACATGAAAAATTCAGCATAATGAAGCATATTTTAATCATCAGTATAGACCTATTTTTTTTTTTATCTCACTTTGTCTTTTTTGAGTTTTTTGGAGAGGAAGGGATTTTCTGAATCCAAAGTTATAGAAGCTCTACTGCTTCTATAATAGTACTAAGGTTTATGCTTTCATTGCCTCTCATTCTCTGCATACTTCAAATTACGCTTATAATGCTTATTCACCCACGACACAGCATTTCCTCTTTAACCTTTAGAATAACCTTAGTCATCAGAAAACACTATCTACATTTCTGAATTACTTACCAAAGTGAAAATGTTTTAAATCATTATAATAAAAAGATAAGGGTATTTAGTGGACAGAGCAAAGATGTGGTTGCTATTCCCTGTGTTTATATAACTTCAAGAAATAGAAAGTAATTACATTTATCTAAGAAATACATAATGAGAACCTAACCTAAGCATTGATGGTGAAAGTCAAGAAGAGTATTTATATGTGAGAGAGGTTGGAAAATGACGTACTTCAACAGTGATTCGGGGGATGGGAGCAGGGACAGTCCCAGTGGAAGTTTAAAGTCTGGTTATAACAGAAAGTGCTTCCACAATTAAGGAGGGACTTCAGAAGAAGGAACAGGTTAGGGCAGGAAGGAGATGACTTCAAGTTTGGACATAAAGCTTCTGTAATTATTGTGACATGTAACCTCTGCTATTCCTCTAGATCTGGACCCTTGAAATGTGGCTAATTTGAATTGAGATTTATAAAGTAATACCAGATTTAGGAGCTATAGCACTAAAAAGAATGTGAAATATTAAAGTAATATTTTTATATGGGTTATATATTGAAAAATATTTTGGATATTAATTTAACCTGGGTGTTTTTGTTTGTGTGTGTGTGCGCGTGTGTGTTTGTTTGTTTGTATTTTATCATTAATGTGGCTGTTAGGAAATGTATGTATCTTACATTTCTGTTGGACAGTACTAATATACATGGAGATTTGTAATAGATAGTTACAAATGCAGGACCAAAATCAGGGCAAAACATTTAGATTTGGAAATAACCTATGTAAAGGTGATACTTCATGTTATGTGATGATTAGATAAAAATGCCAGTGTACAGGGTATGGAAATGGGGGAAATGCCAACAATTATAGGATGAGAAGAAAAAGAGTAACTAGTAGAAGAATTGGCAAATCAAGACTCTTAAGTGGTAGATAAGTCTGATTAGGATAGAATTTCAAGAAGGAAGAAGTGGTTAATATCATTGCATGATAGGCCAAAGAGGAAGAGGAGGACTGAACAAAGACTATTGAATTTGGTTGATACAGAAGCAGTTTCAATAGAGTATAAAAAGGATAGATTGCAAGAGATTAAGAAGTTAGAGGTTGATGCAGTAGGCTGTATATATAAACTATTCTTTCAGGCAAGGAGTCCATTTGGGAAGATAATAATCACTTGATTGGAACACAGTCCAAGGAAATGTGATCATGTTTGTTGGCTGTATAAAAGGATCTTTGAAGTAGGAGTGCTTGAAGTTATATGAAAGAGAGATAATTTCTATAGTAAGATCCTAATGCATTGGGTCCCAAACCTGAGTGCATAATGGAATCACCTGAGGAACTTGTCACAAAAGCAAATTCCCAGGCAACATCCAATATCTAAAAAGATCATGTTCTCTACAGGTTTGTCTTCTGGGAGTTGTTTTAACAAGCTTTTCTAGGTGATTATGATGTATCCATAAGGACAAACAAGTTAAGAAAACGAAAGGTGCAATTGAGTATATCAATGAAATGGCTGAACGAATCATCTAGAATGGATGGAGAGCCAATTGAGCTTAGGATAAGACCAGTAGACCATGAACTACTGTTCAGAATTTGGCTTTTGTTATTAGAAGAGTAAGCACAGGTTCAGACAAATGAACGACCAAGAAAGCTAAAAAGGTTGCCCTATCAGCATGGCTCAGTGGTTGAGCATCAACTTATGAATCAGCAGGTGACAGGTTCGATTCCTGGTCAGGGCACATGCTGGGCTGTGGGCTTGATCCACAGTAGGGCTTATGCTGGAGGCAACTGGTCAGTGATTCTCTCAGATCATTGTTATTTCTATCTCTCACTCCCTCTCCCTTCCTCTCTGGAGTCAATAAGAAAATTAAAAAAAAAAAAAAAAAGATAATAGAACTCTAACCAGTTTGGCTCAGTGGATAGAGCGTTGGCCTGCGGACTCAAGGGTCCCAGGTTCAATTCCGGTCAAGGGCATGTACCTTGGTTGCGGGCACATCTCCAGTAGGTGGTGTGCAGGAGGCAGCTGATCGATGTTTCTAACTCTCTATCCCTCTCCTTTCCTCTCTGTGAAAAATCAAATACACACAAAAACACACACACACACACAAACACACACACACACACACAAACACACACACACACACACACACACACAAATAGATGTTAATCAGAAGGAAAGTTTCAGAATTCAGGATCTTGGAGGCCAAGCAGATACGTAATATGGCTGTGTGTGCTTGATGTGGGAAATAGGTAAAAAGAGAATTGAATCACTGACATTGTAAGACCTATCAGTTTGGTAACTATTATAGAACAGTGGTAAAATATATATGTTAGTATATATGTTAGATTTAGAGATTAGGAAGAAGAAATAAAGGTTGAATTAGTATAGAATTATTCGGATTTAAGATTCCACTAAACCTTCACATGGGTGTCTGTCTCAGTCTTTGTGATATACTGTAGCTTTAGTTGAAAATAGAGTGGATGTTTAACATTTACAGATATAAAATGCATAGTTTTGATTATTCACAAGTAACCCTAAGGGTTCATCACAAGTTAATACTTTTTCCAAGGCATGAATTTGAATCTCCTGTCCTAAAACTGACTTGTTGAAACTAGTCATTTAACTAGTGGCTTACAGTGAAGCCACCATTTACATTCATTTTGCCTTTAATATATGATTGTATTCATCATCAGAATACATTCTTCTGGTAGTTTTCACAGAAGAGGAAATTATTTGCCAAATTGTAGTATTAAGTGGGTATTAAAAGGTATTAAAGTTTTTATTGAGTTTATAAAAATTTTAGCACTGCAGCTAACTTGTAATAATTGCTTAATAAATGGTACAAATAACCAGTTCAGGAATTCAGTAAATTTTAAAGCCAAATCTTTTTGGGTATGCCCAGGTTTAGTTAATAATACTTATATTAAAATTTTTACTTTGATTTGGCTCTCCACAAATTATTAAACTTATAGTAGGATGTTAAATTTGCAAGTAAATTAGTGGGAGAACAATGGGTCATTTATCACTTACCTAATTCTGTTTGATATACTTGAAAGGAGGTATATTTTATAATAATTCATATTATACTAGAGGCTCAGTATGCGGATTAGTGCACATTAAAAGGAAATTCATTAGAAGGTGGCTGGCAGAGCAGGACTGGGCAAGATGGCCGGTCATGCCCTAGAGCCAACCACCTGAGGTCCCTCCCCTGCCTGCCGCACCCAGAGCAGTGCCAGTGCTCAGAGAGTATCTATGGAGTGAGCGGGTCCCTCCAGCAGGTAGGGTCCCTCAGCCTAGTCTGCGGGGATTGGACCGAAACCAGCATTCCGGCACACTCCAAGGGGTCCTGGAATGGGAGAGGCGCTCTGCAAAGTTGCTGTTGCTCAGCAGCTCCTAGGTTGGGCGTCTGCCCCTTGGTGGTCAGTGCACATCATACCTAACAGCCGGTCAGCCAGTCAGCTGGTCAGCTGGTTGCTTAGCCTTTTATATATATAGGTTGATTGCTATTATAACTTAAAAATATCCTTTAAGTATATTTCCATATCACAAGTACACATATCCTTTAAGTATATTTCCATATCACAAGTACACATACAATAAACAAAATGAATTACATTACAAGCTGTGTTTTTCTTAGAGATTTAATAAATTACTTGTTTTTGCTAAACAACTTTCTCAGTATATTTTATAATTATATGATTGTTTTTGCTTTATAGTGAAGAGCTCAGAAAAGAAGCAAGACAGTTAAAGCGGGAACTCTTAGCAGCAAAACAAAAAAAGGTAGAAAATGCAGCAAAACAAGCAGAAAAATCAAGTGAAGGTAAGGATATTTGCTTATATTTTAACTTGGTATTTCTTCTTTCCTTATATCTTCAATGTTAAGGTCTTGTGTAATCCTAGTGCAATGGTCAAAACCAAGCAATTAGTATAAATACAGCACTAGTAACTAACTATAAACTTTATTAGAATTACCTTATTAGAATTGGAATTTACCAGTTTTCCTATTAATGTCATTTTTGTTTTATGATCCCATCCAGAGTTCCATCATGTCTCCTGATTCTCACTTAGATATTTTGTAGAATGTCTCACCTTGTGTTTGCCTGGTGTTTTCTCATGTTAATATTGAGATTATGCATTTGGGGGCAAGATTGCCACATAAGTGATATGTCCTTCCTAAGTGCATTATATCAGAGGTAGTAACAGGATGTCCGTTGTCTTTTTACTAGTGATATTACCATGATCACATGGTTAAAGTGGTGTCTACTGAGCTGCTACACTATAAAATATTCTTTTTCCCTTTGAGATTATAAGTATTTGGGGAAGATGCTTTGAGACTATATAAATATTTGGTTTATTTTCAAGCTTTCAACCACTAATTTTATCATCATTCATGGGTGGGTCTTATCTGTAGTCAACAGTTATTTACTGTGGTGTTGTAATGGTGAGTTTGTATGTCCCTGATCCCTTTTACTTTTATTACTTGGAATTCTTCTGTAAGAGAGAGGTCTCTCTTCTATTATTTATTTATTTACTTATTTATGTGTGTATGGCTTATACACATTTATTTTATTCTATGTTTTAATCCCAAACTGTCATTATTTTGTTGTTCAAATAATACCAGCATTCACCTGTAGTAGCTTTTTCTGGCTGGCCTCTGTCCTTTCATCCTGCCCCATCCTTTGCGTTCTTTCTTACTTTCTGGCACAAGATGCTCCCGCCTGATCTTGTGTTTTGCCTTCTGCACACGTGGAATCAAGCACTTCTCCAAGGAACTCCAGTTTCTCTTATTGGAGTTTGTATTTAGAAAACAAAATGTGAACACTTAAGTTGGTCATTTTATTTTGATTCTATTATTCTTAAGAGTGCTACTAGGAGCAATATTATATTGTCACTATCTTAGAATGCTTAACAAAATTCATATTTAGCTCCTATCTGTAATCATTATGGATTACTTTTTTCTTAGGATTATATTTCCTCTAAACTTATTTTGATCTTTTAAAATTGACAAGTGTTGCTGATAAGATGATAGAAAATTATTTAGTTTGAAAGATTTATGAATTTCAGTAAACATTATATTTTACTTGATATTTACATGTTTTTTGCAGTTTTTAAGTCTAGTAATCTTTCTTCCCCAAGATTGAAAATGATACCATGAGTCATCTCACTGAATAGCCTTGTGGAAACAAAGTAGAATTTTAGGCATCCTTGAACGTATGTAGAACTTAGCCTATCTTCCCAACCAAAACAGATGCTCCAAGTTTAGGATTATGTAAACTCTGGGAACAGATCCAGAGGTTCTCATATGCATTTGCATGGTAAGATTATCACATAAAAAGAAGTAGGAAAGTGTTATTTAAGCTGAATACCCTCCTGAATATATTCAGGAAAGATTTCTTGTTTGAGCTATATGGCTACGTATCAGGCTTTTGTAAGCCACTTTCTTTTGGTCCAAGATTAAATTATTTGAGTATTATAGCAACTCTGTATGATTTGGTCTTTGGAACATGATATGAAAAGACTGAAAATGTCTGGTCTTAGTACTTTCCTGTTTGTTTATATCTAGCAATTTAATTTGCCAATTAACTTAGAAGTAGATAATCAATATAAATAAAAAGAGCCATGTGGATGTTTTGGAGTGTAGTAAATTGTAATATAGACCTACCTTTCCCAGGAATTTTTATCTGGATGCATAGACTACATCTATTAATTCAAAGGGACTAAAAATACATTAATTTTATTTTTCATAGTAATTTTGACAGTAATATTCAGTGCTCATTATATGTAACACAAATAATTATAAGAATCCTTTGGAATATTATAATTTCTCAAAAGCTAAACAGGAAATGAAACTTCCATTTGGTCTAGTAATCGCACTTCTAGGAATATATCCCAGGAAATCAGAAATATCAGTCAGAAAGGATATATGCACCCTATGTTCATAGCACCACAATTTACAATAACCAAGATTTGGAAACAGCCTAAGTACTCATCAGCAGATAAGTAGATTAAAAAACTGTGGGGCATCTACACAATAGAATACTATGCTGATGTAAAAAAGAAAGAACTCTTACCATTTTGCAACAGAATAGATGGACCTGGAGAGCATTATGCTAAGCGAAATAATCCAGTCAGAGAAAGATAAATATCATATTATCTCACTCATTTGTGGAATATAATGACAAACATAAACTGATGAACAAAAATAAATCCAGAGATACAGAAGCATCAAACAGACCATCAAACCTCAGAGGGAAGGAAGGGGAAGGTGTGTGTGAGGCGGGAGAAGGTGAGGGGGAAGAGGGTAAGAGATTAACCAAATGCATGCATATAGGAATAACCAATGGACACAGACAGTAGTGGGGTGAGGAAATATGCTGGAGGTTGTGGGCAGCCAGGGAGAGGTCAATGGGTGAAAAAGGAGATGTAATACTTCAAACAATAAAGAATTTAAATTAAAAAAGTAAACAAACAGAAAAGTACTAAGACCAGGCATTTTCAGTTTTCCTAGTAAAGCTCAAGATCTGATATTCCTTATATCATAAGGATATTGTAAAAAAAAAAAAGGATATAATTATATATCTGCATAAGAAGAAGATCATGACCTGTTCAATTTTGATTAGTTTGCCGTCTATTTACTTTTTAAAAGCTTTAGATAATCTATAAAAGAATTCTTTAGTAAATGAAAGAAACAGAATGTCAAGGGATAAAATCATTATTAGAGTCATACTGGAGTCCTGATGCACAAAGATTTGTGCAAGAATAGGTCTTCCTTCCCCTGGCTGCCAGCACTGCCTTTGCTCCAGCTGGAGCCCCCTTTTCGCTCTGGCCTAGAGCCACCTTTCCACGTTCCCACACTTCCCAGAGGCCTGGAGTGGCTTGGGGTGGTGCGGAATGCCTTTGTCAACACCATGGCAACAACACAAGTGTACTAGGCTGCTCTGCACCAGTGTATGCAAATTAACCCACCATCTTTGTTAGGTTAATTTGCATACTCACTCCTGATTGGCTGGTGGGTGTCATGATGGTACTGTCAATGTGCATCTTATTCTTTTATTAGTGTATATAATTAGAATTTTTATAGTAACATGAAGTTGAACTTAAAATTCTAAGGAGTTAAATATCTTTGTTGAATGCAGAGTTGCAGTAGCTGTAATACCCCAATGTGGATAAACAAGAAGTGTAGTGTTTTATTTAGAGACAGCATTGTCAGGAGAGATGTGCTGCAGGACAGTTCTGTTTGCAACCCAGGAGTCTCGTTAGTCCCCTTGTAAATCACCCAGGCCTGTAAAGAGGATGTTTGTGGGGGATAATAAATTTTAAATAAGATTGGTAGTTAATTGGAGACAGAGTTAGTTTCCTGTGTTGGCTCTGTCAAGTACTTTAATAAACTATATAATCCTTTTCATTAAATTGTGTTTTTAAGTACTTCCCAGGTTTTTTTTTTTTAATCATATCAAACTAGTACCAAACTGCACATAGTCACTTAGAGATATAGGTTTGGACATATTCTCTAATCAGCTTTAGGGAGATAAGGTGTCAGATCCTCTTTTCAAAGTTCTAAGCACACAATACCTGCTCTATGGCTAGTGCAAGAAATTAGAGGAGGAAGGGGCAACCAGAGCTTGTAAATCAAGAAAGAATTTTAAAGCCTCTTCAGAAAGCACATCCCTGAGGTGCTTAATTCCTCTCAAATTGCACTGGTGCATTTCAAGTTTCTTCAAACTAACTTTTTAATTCTGGATTAAGTCAGACTAGGGCCCCTCAGGTTTTGATAGGCTGTGAAAATGTATCTATATTATAGTTTTTTACTACTTTTCATCTGTCTAACTATAATGTGAAAGTAGCTCAATCTTGGTTTTTATAAGAAACAGAAATCCCTTTGGAATGTTAGCTTTGTGCTATGTCCAATACCATATAGAATTAATTCCTCTTTTTGAGCAAACTAAGCAAAAATCCTTTTTTAAAGTAGTTCATTTTTTCAAGGACTCTTGAATTATTTTTCTTAAGGGCCAGAAGTATGAGACCTATTTTTCCTATAGTCTACTTTTAATCTATGTACTAACTTTTAATGTCATTTATGTGGGAAACTGAAAGTATATGCCCTTGATTCATAGAAAGCCTCTTGGATCAGTATTACTAAACCAGTAATACTCTTTGTTTCTTACTTTGGTCAGGGTGCTAACAAATTGATTATTTGGTTCTAAGTTCAAAATAGATTAAATAATAATAAAAGTCAGGGAGAGTACCTTTTAAGAGGGTAAATTCATAAAATGTATGACTATATTAGCTATATATTTCAAGATTTAAAAAATCTATATAATAAAAGCCTAAGTGACCTTTGCAGTGGAACAAGAACGATCAGTTGCTATATGCGCACTGACCACCAGGGGGTAGATGCTCAATGCAGGAGCTGCCCCCTGGTGGTCAGTGCAGTCCCACAGGGGGGAGCCAGGAGCCGAGCTCACAGCTGGTGAGTGCAGCAGTGATGGAGGAAGCCTCTCCCACCTCACAGCAGCACTAAGGAGCAGCGAGCAGGCAGGTGGTAAGGAGCAAGGGCTCCCAGACTGCAAGAGGGATGTCCACCTGCCAGCTTAGGCCTGGGCTGAGGTCCCCCTGACCCCTCAGTGCGTCAATTTCATTCACTGGGCCTCTAGTAAGCAAGGGCAGGAACTGGCCTATGGATCGGATCTCTCTAACTGACTGTATTACTGGGCTAAAAAAAATGAGAGAGAAAGACAAAGGTAAAGACATCTATTTTGACAACAGTAAGAGATGAAAGCTGACCACCTGACACTAGGAAAGTAAGGAAACACAGGAACA